CGTCTAAACTAGAATAGAAACCCATACCAACCAACCTATAAACTGACTCGTGTTTACACAAGCAAGCCCTACAATGAAGTAATTCCAAGCCTTAACTTAGTAGTTATAGTCCCTCAATGAGATGATCTAAAGCCTCAAACCTTCGTAAACTTTGAAAGTACCTGACCTAGTCACCCATAAAAAATGACTAGCCGAAAGACAGTTGAGCTACGAGAACATTGAAGCATCATTGCCTTATGTGAAGAAGAACCCACCACTCCAGCTAGCTATTACCATACTCACCTTTTAACCTAAGCTACTATCCAAAAATCTAAACATGCCGACCAAAAGCCCCAGCCAAATAGAGACTTAAAAGCTAGAATACAAGGCATGAAGAATGAGTTGAAAGAAAAGATCGTCCTCTTCAAGAATGAGCTCAAATTTTTTAAGACCTCGTCTTTTACCATGGAGATTGACAAAACTATGCCCCTAAAAGGGTTTAAAATGCTAATCTTGGAGACTTACGATAGTACCACTGACCCTTTCAATCATTTAAAGCTTTATCGAACTAATATGATGATACAAGGGGCAAATGAAGCTCTAATGTGCAAAGGACTAAATGCCACACTTAAAAAGGTAGCTCGATCCTGGTACTATAGCCTAAAGTCAAGGTCTATCACAACTTTTAAAGAGCTTAATCATGCTTTCCTGTCTCAATTCATAAGCAGTAGAAGAATGAAAAAGACTACCTTGAGCTTGATGTCAATCTATTAGGTAAAAATGAGTTTTTAAAAATGACATAATGCATTTTAATATAGAGGCCTTCCAAATAAAAGATTTAGAGTAAACTATCGTAATTGCCTCCTTGACCAATGAACTTAAAGATAAAGAGTATCACTTGAAACTTACACTTTTCCTAGAATCACCAAAGATATTAGCTGACGTGCTACTCATAAAAAAATACATAAATATTGAAGTTATGATGAAAAACCAATGTGAGAGAGACTCATCCCTGCTCTTTAGCAGTCGAAGTGAAAGAGGCTTTTTCTCTTCCTCAACCAAAAAAAAGGGAAAAAAATCTACAATCTTCCTCAAGAGAAACTACATAGCACTAAATACCTAGAGAGAGAGAGAATTCTGATACATATAAAAAAGGACTCTGAGCTTAGATGGCTAAAGCCACTAAGGCAAAATACAAGAAGAAACCCAGCAGAACGATCCATTTTCACTAAGACATTGGTCACAACACAGAAGACTATGTTGACATAAAGAATGAAATAGAGAGTTTGATTAAAAAAGGTTAGTTGGATAAATTTATGGATCGAGCAAGATAAAGTTGGGGCAAACTAGATTATAGGCCCGATAAGCATTGAGCAGGCCCAATAAGTCGTGTAAGAGACAGTAAAGGTAATTTATTAAGAAGCTGCATAAAACATAATCAAGCTCAGCCTTTAGAAAAAATAAAAACATAAAAAATAAAATAAGTCTTGACTGAGCTTAAAAATACAAACTTTTTTTAGTGAGGGTTATCCTGGTGATCTTTCTCACCATTTCGAGGCCCTCAAAATGGTTCTTAATGGAATCAACTCCACATTTATTGCCACGCGTTTTGAGGTAAGATGCAATTTAATGCTCAGACTAACAGGATAGGTCTTTATCTTTTTCTTCTTTGAGGGCTTCTCTCTATAGGCTATTTATTTTTGCCTCTTTTAGGGTACGACCAGGCTAGAAGGAGGCCGAAGAGGAGTAGAGTTTATTATTTTGACCCCTTTTGAGGGGCTCTCGATTAAATGAGAACTTTACATGAACTCAAAATCTTTCATTTAGGATGAAACTCCTACATAAAAAACCAAACTAAAAGTTAGAAAAAATATTTGGAACAAACATCGTGTGAAGTTACCTCGGACCTTCCCCAATACCTGACCTCTTTGATAATAGAAAAAGAGGTTAACTTTTTCGCATCTAGAACCAACTACCCCATTTGAAAAAGGTTCATTATTATATCCCAAGTTTCAAATTCTACATCATCAAGGAACTAACTTGGACTTATTGAAAAATCCCATGTCTATTATTTATTTTCCATACACCAGGCTTTCTTTTATTATCTTTTTTCTTTATACATAGGAAGAGTAGCTTACAACCGCTTTATTGAGCTCTGATAATCAGCAAAGATTTTTTAGCAAGCTGAGCTGTTACATAAAACCTTATTATGGGGATGCTTTTTAACGATAAAAAATTCTTTAAACAAAAGAAGGGTAGGGTCTAACTTCAACCACATACAAAGAATTATAAAGCCTATAATCTATCAAAAAAATTTTGGAGCAAGCCGAGTGATAGTTAAATTGTAAAAAAAAAAAAAAGTTAACAATGAAAAAATGTAAAGGGAACTTTAGACTAGTGATTATAGACTCTCAATACACCCAAATCTTATCGGTGCCCAAAGGAGTAGTAACTCAATCTTCAGTGGTTAGTAATACTATACTATACCCCACTTTAGAAAGATCAAATTTGACTTTCAAACCACAAAAATGATGCATCGAGCACATATTAAGGCAATTCTCAAGATTAGCCTTGCCCTTTTAAACTCTGCATCACATTTGTTGGGGTTATAACTAAGTCGTAAGGGGTATAAAAAAGGACAAGGTCATATGCATCACCACTTTAGGTGACCTTTTTCTCACCTTCACTTGTCCTTCCCTTTTTGGCTTGATTGATCCCTTCTGCTTGATCATCTATAGCTTACTCATTCTTAAAAGTCTCATATTCAGATAACTAATCTTTTGAAGAGGTAACAAGGGCTAATGTTCGAATAAGAGTGGGAGCAAAAATCTTCTTACTTTGGATGAAAAAAAAGATGAATAAGGAATAAGAGACTCATTCGACTAAAAAATCAGACCAAGTTTAAAATCTAAGGTTAGCCTAGATAGACATCGAAAAAAAGTAAAAGTAAAAGCTTGAGGATGAGGAGACAGAATAAAAGTAGGAAAAATGGTGAGAAGGAGAAGAGGAAGAAGGAAAAGAAAGGTGAGAGAGAGAAAAAGAGTAAGGATGAAAGAGATAAGAAGGAGGAATTGAAGAAGAAAGGTCAGCTAGAGGAGCCAGACTAACCTTTGACAGTGGGGTGGGTAGATTTTAAAGATCACAATCTATTCATTAAGAAGCTCATCCACCTTATGAAAGACCTACTCTCCTTTAACACAAGCACTGTCTTTAACTTGTTGCTAATCAGTAGCAAACATTGAATTCAACCAAAAGCAACTTGGGTATAATCCCTTTCTACAATCACAAAAGGAACTTTATCATCCAAACCTTAACAAATAAGCTGACCTTCCCTTGGCTCTACCTAAAAACTCCAAAAACTTGAATTATAAGACATAATTAAAGAAAAAAAAGTACCAAACTAGATGAAGACAGGAATGTTGGTTGAAAAAGAAATAGGAAATTTGAAAGTTAGTAAAAACAAATAAACACAATAGCAAAAAGATAGTAAAGTGAGAGATTGAGGCCCTAAAGGACCCTTTTATAGGGATTAAATGAACACTGCAAATCATGCCACTTGTTTGAAGCATTTACTGAGGATGACCATTCACATTCTCAACTTTGAGTTTCATCGTTAAATTTTCTCTCTCCTCATTAAATGTCATTTTCAAACAACAAAAGGGCAAATCAATCATTTTGCCTACCCATATCAATCAAACACTTTTGATACATCAGGTCAACCGTATGTTAGGTCAAAAATCAAAATCCAAATAAAAAAAAAAAAAACACAAGTCCCACGTCAGCCAACAACAATCCACCAACTCATGGTCAAATATAGCATTAAACACACAAGCCACATCAGTAATCACTTATAAACTTACTTGATCCAATCTTTGTCGACCTTGGAATTCACAATCACTCACCTTAATGGCTTCTGGTTGAACCAATGAAACATAAATTTCAAAGCCTACGTTTAGGATTAAGCTCGACACCATTGAGCATGCACCAGGTTGGCACAAACCAAATTGGCCAGGACTACACTCAACAGTCTGATACTCAAAGTGCTTGGTAAGGGAACAATAGCCAATCGCACTTGTACAAAAAAGATTAGTGACAACACCTCCAGTCATATCTAGTGATAAAGTTTATGAATTTATATATTATGACTATATTTTTGTAATTGTCTATGTAAGTTTAAGGATGATCATAAATGTTGAATCTCAATTATGACTACATTCATATCTTTTACCTAATCTTGCAATGGTTGTACTCTTCAAATTACAAAAATTGCACGTATATATATATATATATATATATATATATATATATATATATTTCTTATTTAGAGTTTTGGATAACTAATCTCTTAAACATGAAAATTAAAATCCTGATCTTATGTTTAGTGTTTCTTTGGGCAAGCTATTGAAACTCTTAATATTAAGCTGATGTTTACTGGATTAATTATAAGACTAACACAAGCCCAAAAGAAATGGAGCTTCCAAGCTCAAATCAATGCCGCTTGAATTAACTAGATTGTTTTTAGATAAATAGTTTTACTTTTTTTGACGCAGTTATGTGATCTCAAATTTACTGTTGATAGATCGATGCAAACGAAACAATATCATAAAGGTGGCATTTGACAAAAGGGTGAGATGCTTTCAGAACTTTAAGCTGAAAAATATTGCTGAATATGAAAAATACGATGGTCAGCGACATAGTTTATAAGACTTGATGTCGTGCATTTAAAGCAAATACAGACCAAGAGAACTTCATATTTTTTTAATTGACTATGTACATTTTAAAATCAGACTTATATGTAATTTAAATGCGTTTCCTTTTACAATTCTTTTACTCTTATTTTTATGATATTCATTATAAATATTATGTCTTTAATAACTCGCGCAGCGTAATTGCCTTACACTAATATTAATTGATAAACTACCCTAAGCAAGTGTTACTTTTACCACTTTAAATTTCTTTAATATAAAAGAGCAAAGAAAAAAAAAAAGGGGTCAAGACATTAGGCTATGATACTCATACCATCCAAATATCAAGGCACCTTCGTTAAAGATTACCAGCTATCTGTTTTTTATGACATTACACACTAAAAGTTGAATTAAAAAAAATACTTTTTTTTTTCACAAGGAATGTGAGATAATCACAACAGAATACCCCATGTGTAAAATTGTCCTACAGCTTTTTTCCACAGGCAGAATCCGTACCCACTAACTGCCCTAAAAATTGAGACACCTGGAATCAAATATCAACCAACTACCCAAAAGAAAAAAAATATTTTCCGCCAAAATCATAGATCCACTTTCGATCCTTGCCCTAGAACTATGGCAAAATGCATTCTAAACAACTACCTCCCATTTTGATGTTTGCGGGGGAATTCCGAGTCATTTCTGTGCATAGGACTCCTACCTTCGTATAGGTGTATAAATTAGAGGCTTCATCCTCAATCAAACCTGCGCTTCATACGTTGATGAGTTAAATGTATGATTGATACAATGTTTAAGGAACACCGCGTAAAGTAACTCGTTCCATGCATCAGGCACTCCGGGTAGACACCAATGACTGCAGTCCTGCCGATGAATTGGAGCAGGGCTTTCCTTGGGGCCCAAATAGTAAAGGGATGAATGCCCATCTTTCCTTCGTGCTGTCATACTAGTAATATTTAATATGTCGAATTTTGTTCCTTCTGACGCATTTGAGTAAGCTGATAACACATCACTGACTATTTTGAATTGTTCCCAAGTTTCAGATGGCACCAATGATGTGCCCAGCTCTGGCAGTGTCTCTAAGTGGCAGCTTCCCCCAGTTTTCCAATCTCCTCCTCTGCCAAGTTTTAGAAAATTTAGCTACTCCTATAAAATGCACAATTGTCTATAAAATCAACTCAACAAATGTGAAAACAAGGTTCTTTTGTTTTTTTTCTCTTCCTCGTGAAGTCTTGAGGAGTAATTCATGTTTATTTAGATGCATAACAACTTGCATTAATGCAGGCATGTATGAATGTTGGATCAAGAAAATAAAAATTGTCTCCTAAAACAAAGCCTTGGATGCAAAAGGAATGCAGTATAAAAATTAGTTCATCAATCAAATGCATCTACACAACTGATTTTGACAGAACTTGTATATCTAGAATTAGTTGGAAAAAACCAGCAACTTCATCAGTGACATCCAAGTTCTTTTAATCGAGGTCAAACTCAGATCCCTACCACACCCTCACAGGTCTTTCTCTCGAGTATCTACCTCAGCCAATTCTTTCCAGGAGACCAAAATACGAAAAAAGATTTCCACAGAATGTAACATAGGCATGCAGAGGTCTAATTGAGCACCATGCAATAGATATTACAAAGTTAAAACAAACCTGAAATGTACAGGGGCAAATGTGCGGAAGAAGACCTTGGTCTTGCTTGTATTCACCTTATTATGTATCCACTGCATCACAGTCTCTATGGACCTTTGATATGCATGTTCTACTGTCATTTCCATTTTGACTTTTTCCCCTTCTTGAAAGTAACATCCCCTGGCCAAAAAAATGGAAATTTAAGATCAGATTATGGTAGTTTCACCTAGATCAAGCATTTATGATAACTGCAAGCACCAACTCTCAATTTATATTGACAATTGGCCTTCTCTTTCATACTTTCCCCATTTCATGTGTAAGAAACAAAATCCAAAATGTCAAATCCAGAATCCTTCCATTGGATTTATATGCAATCCAAAATCATAAATGAGAAAATCTAGGGTCCATTGTTGTTAAATGTAGAAATATCATTTAAAAAGAAAACCATGCATGCAACCAAAGTTCAATTCCACAAATTACATTCTCTGTTTAGTCGCATTTGAAATAATATATATATATATATATATATAGAGAGAGAGAGAGAGAGATAACGTCCTACCAAGATAGAAGAAGAGTTCATGATTGCAAATACCGAAGCAAAGTTCTTCATATCATCGAAGTGAAGAAAAAAAAAGGATACAGAAAGAAGACTTTTCAAAAGCAAAGTTGTTGAGCTGTCACAGGACCACATGGTATCATTCTATTAATAACCTTTCTCATTCTACTTATCAACCATAAGGCTCTCCATTATCCAAATGTAAAAAATCTGCAACTAATGGTCATTAATATGTTAGGCATCCACCATAACAGAAGGTGATCCAGACTATGATATTCAGCCATTCAATTTCTGTTTTCTTGGGATACCATGTAGCATGCTTGAAAAGGACTCATCTTTCATAAGCCACTTATCTTCATTATGTCAGTGTTGGAAGATATTTTTTTACCTTTTCTTTTTACCATAGATATGATATTACTACAAAAAACATTATAAACCAAATACCAACCCAAACATGTTTCGATATAATGAAATTATTATAGTATCAAAGCTAACCCAGTCTAAGCTCATCCACTTGGAATAAAAATAAACAATAAAGACATGACAATAAGGAATATTAAGAAGAACAAAAGAAACAGTTTACCCTCTAACGGTCTTCTCATAATTCCACCAATGCCCGGTATTGAAGACCACCAAATCTGCATCTTTCCACCTAATAGAATTCCAATCCATTTGATCCAATTTAAGTGTGGTCTTGATGTTTTGTGGAGATCCAGCAGGAGGCCTGCTCTGCAGGACAAGAAAAGGAGCCCTGTAGTACTCCACGGTGCAATTATAATCCTTCAACTTGAATACCAAGAAGCCTTTATGCTTCGTAATTGGGCTGCCATTCACTTCATATATTGAATCTTTATTGGGAACTGCAGAAGCAAGCATGCAGAGGAGTGATTCCCATTGATTTCTTCCAATTGAATCACCAACAAAAACCAATCGCTTGTTTTGCAACTTCTCCAACATCACTTTTCCATCAAATCTATTTTATAAATGAAAAAAAAAAATGAATAAACCTTAATGAACTAACAAGAAACATAATCAAGTATTCTCAAATCCTTATATTTTCCATTTGCAATTGCCAAATAACTCTAAAAAGATGAAAAGAATCAAGATAAGTTAGAAACCACGAATTAAAGAAGGATCACAACTCACAAGCCTTGTATGTAGACCTAGTAATTTTAAACATGACACAATATGAAAAAGACAAAAAAGCGACACCACTTAAAATTGTAACAAAAACTGTATATGGGTTTGGTAAAAAAAAAAATTTGTTTCATGTTTAATGCGTTGAAATGAATTGTAACACAGCAATTTTTGTGTATTACACGTGTTTGACATGAAATAAATACAATACCAATGCACGAATAGTCAGGTCTGCTTATAGGGTATAGAGGTAAGAAATTAAACTTAAAATTTCAAAGAATGCCATCAAAGAGCGGCAGCAAAATAAGATACTCACACAATTAACCAGGAACTTGTAATAACTCAAGAAATGCAGTATTAAAGCAATTTTTTTATATTGGTGAAAAGTAATTTACCAAGTTAAATTGACAATAAGAATCCCAGCTAATATTAGAAAACAGGCTCATAGATCAAACCGATTTCAAATACCACAACGAGAAAGCCAATTTTATCTTCATTGTTTAAAAAAGCTTCAAATCCTTATATGTTCACGATTGAGGTTAACCTACAGTAGAAAATGGCCACAAAACTATAAGAAAGGAACAGAAACAGAAGCGAGCAATGATGAAATTGACTGAAAAGAAAGGACCAACCAAAGAAAAGACAAAATTTTAATAAATCACGGGAAACCACACTCAAATTGGTTTGGCAGTAAGCCCAACCATGTCTGAATCAACTTGCTTCATAATCTACATGAAGAAGAAGGAAATTAATTAGGAACCAAAAGAAAACAATTTTTTTGAACAGGTTGTCCTTTTCATTGTGCAGAGAATTTCTATAGCTTCATGATTAAGCCTAAGAAGACATACGGAAAAAACCAAAGAAAAAATGGTTACTTTTCAAGAAGTATAGAAATTGTTGCCAATGGAAACAGTATACTAAAGCAAACAAAACTAATAAAAATAACACATATCAAAATCACTCAATCAAAATTTGCTTGATCTTGTCTTTTTCCCGTTAATTCATCAGCAACCAAAAAGTGTAAAAGAATGAAAAAAATTAATCAAGAAAAATAAGAACCTGGGAAGGTTGCAATGCTTAGGCTGCCATCTCCATTTGGTGTAGAACAAATCTGGCCTTCCATTTTCAGTACACCTAAACCCTTCATCAAGAAAGCTGCAATCTCTTGACTCGTAAAGAGGATACGTTTCATCCCAAACCCAATCACCATCGAACACATCGCACCCTTGACCTTCTTGGCTCAAGAAATCAACTTTTTTTATCTCACTTGAAGAAGACCCATCTAGTTTAAGCCACAAAAATCTCTGTGACTGACTAGGAACTCTATACCCTTTAGCCACGGCTCTGTAATCCAAGTAAAAGAAACAACAAATCACACAAACAGCAACAAGGAAGAAGCCAAGAACCCCCAAAGATGGCTCAAAGAGTCTCAAACGCTTGAACCTTTTAAAAGCTTCAAAAGCTTCAAAAATTGGCATGGTTTAATGGTCTTGATGAGATGGACCTTTACACATTTGAAACTTAAAAATAAGAAATCAAAATTTGGAATCTGGGTATTTTTTTCTTTTCTATAACTAATGAAAACCTTGAGAAAGAAACAACAAAAAGAAGGAATGGAAGAGGCTAAGGTGTAAAGAATATAAAGGTGTACTTTTCAAGCAAAATAGCATTCATGGCCATTGGTGGTGAACCATGTTTTTGCCTTTGGCTTCTTTGCTTGGTAGGTTTGTTTTTGTTATAGTTATGAATGATGGGTAACAAAAAGAAAGAGAAAAAGAAAGAAAGAAAAAAAAAGGGTGTCAAGGAAGCAAGGCAGCATTCATGGCGGAGTTAAATACTTTCCTCTCTTTTTCAGTTTTCTTTATTAGAGAGTGGAAAAAGAGAAAGAGATTTGAAATTATGAATTCGTTTAATTGAACAATTTGTAAGTAAGCTACTTCAAAAATGGATCGATTTCAAACTCAATTCAAAAATAAAAAAAAAAGAAACAAAATATAGACTTATGAGAACTTCAAAAGTTCAATAGAGAAAAGAAGAGAGATAGAGAGAGAGAGAGAGAATTTATTGCGTTCGGAAAACATGGGTCCAAGGGGAGTTCACTTTTACGTTTTTGAGGCTTATAGTGTGGGGGCGTGATTTGCTTCAGTAAGGGTAACGGATAAGATGAAACTCCACTTCAATTGAGCACGTGGATGACACCATTTCTTTCCAGAACATCGTGTCATGTTTTCTTAACCTTTTCTAATTGGTTCGTGGACATCACGTGCAACGAAGGAGGGTGACGGTGTTGTAATTACAATGGTCTAATCGGCCAGACAACAACGTCGGCAGGGAAAGTGTGGGAATTACAAAAAGGTTCATTCTAATGCAAAGTTTTATTAATTGGTGTAATGGAAGAATTTGTTACTGAAAATAATAATTTTAAAATAAACAAAAAAGAATTTTGATTTTACCATTTTATCCTTTAATGACAAAAGAGAAAATCCGGACAACAAAAAAGTGCACTCAACTCACTGCTCTCGCTTTGCTCTGTTCTTTTGTTTTTTTTTTTTTTTTTTTCATTCCCTAACTCGTCTTTACAAAGTTCATCATCGCCTTTCTCTCCTCTCTTCTTTCCTTTTCCTTTTTTTGTTTTTTCTTCTCTGCCTCTTTTTTCCATCTCCCCTGTCCTCAACCTAAACGCCCGATTCCCTTGTTCATCTCTCCGTACACCTGCCTACCTGAGAAGTCGCTCTCGAAATGCCTTCAAACCAGCCATGGGCACCTCCCTATTCCGTTACTTTCAATAAAGAAGATGATGGGCACTTTACCTTGGGATGGATGGCAAATGCCAATCCTCCCTCATCAGTCCAATCTTCCGTTACTATCATGGAAGAAGTAGGGAAATCCTTGATTCAATTGAAAAGCTCAGATGGTTGTAACTCAAGCAACCCAGGTCTCGTAACTTGGGTGAGGAAGCTGCTGTTTGGCCATTGGGCATTTTCCACTGCATTGACAAGCAAGGAAATATCATTCTCCAAGATTGAATTTGAGTATCATGCCCAAGAATTGGATAAAATTATGTGCATATAATTCTAATATCATACATATAATTCTAATATTATGCACATATTTATAAACTATTTTGTACATATCTATAATGTACAAAAAATTGTAAGGTTTTATTTTTATTAGTTTTTTTTTTTTTTTTAACATATCTAACTATACAACACTACAAACATTTCACTGCTTTTCTCCCTTTCCTAGTTTTATCCATCTTTGTTGGATGAACAAAATATGAATCTATAGCAACGAATTTCCCACTTCGGATGGACTGTCTACTGATATTAAATTTATCTTAGAGCACATGCAAAAGCACTGCTAACTCATAAATATAGCATTTTCCCTCATAAGTAGCTTAAGTTAATAATGTAGAAATTAGACCATAGATATTTACATGGTATTAAAATTATATGTACAGTATACTTTTATTATATGTACATTCATCTTCTTTCACTCTTGGAAGTTAAACATTTCTTCTGGCTCTCCTCAAATGATCCATGGCTTCAAATACCTATCACCTGAAACAACAAGAATGATCATTCTTATTTTTTAATTATTTTGTCCAGTTAAATTATTTATGATTAGTTATGGCAAGCATCAATCCAGTACGCTTAAAGGCATATATCAGCATTGGAAAAACCAGCAATTAGGTGCATTATGAGTTTGTGACCTAATCAACTATTATCCTGCATGGCTTGATGAAAGAAGCACCTAATTAACCATCCTCAGAATGCTAGCATAATAAAGTTACCAAAAAGAAATAGCTACCTGTGCACGCTTTTAGAAAAATGACAGAACTAATAGCATAATTTGAAATAATTAAAGTTAAATAGTATAAGATTAATGTCAATTTATAATCTAAAAAATATCACTCCAGGGATAGAACATCCAATTGCAGGAATTCTTTAAATACTAGTTGATGACATCATGATTCTTCTTAGGATTTCAGACGTGAGATATTCTAGGTAGAAAAAAAAAAATGACAACAAATGCCACACTTGGGTTCCCTGGGTTGCAATATTCATGACCATACAGGTTTAATACTCAAAAAGTGACTTTTATATCAGTCGGGACACATTGTTTTATCCTGCAAACTTTGATGAAAAGAAAAGCAAATGCATGGAGATTTATAATCTATTGCTCTCCCATGGTAAACAGCTTTGGGAGATTTGCAAGCATATGTAAGATCCTTTATGGGTAAACAGATTTCGTAATGTTGCATCATAGTCCAGCATAAGTTATCGGATTGAGTGTGTTTTTTCTCATAAATGTTATAATTTTTCTGTATGTACGTATCTTCAGAAAACAAGTCCATTAAGTGAAAAATCTTACATTATAAATTCTTCTGTAAAAGCAACAGATCAAATTAATATCTTGATACAGCACAAAATCCAAATCAGAGATTCTCTTTCCTTGAAGAAAAAACAAATTTGCTAACTATATTATCAAAATTTTCTCAGTTAATAGAATAATAAAAATTAATATCTTACTACAGAACAAAACCCAGAAAAAAATGTAACAGATATGGTTCTCAATTTTAAAACTAAAAAGAGAAGGATGAAATTCAAGATTTTATTTTTATAATAAAAAAATAAAACTCAAAATTCAAATTACAGAAAAAAAAGTACAAGCTTATCTTAAAAACAACATTTATAGCTGTGTTGTGTGAGTATATAATTAAAACAGACCTGGTTGGAACAACTAAAGGAACAATGGGAGGAGGCAACGGAGTTGGAAGAGGCAGATGATGGAGCCTCCGTTCACTTCAGCAGATCGGCGGTTGAAGTGTGAGGCTTTGTAACGGGGGTGCTTTTCTCCATTCCTTTTAGTTTGCTCTGGAGCTAAAAGTACAGGGTAGTTTCAGAGTTTCAGAAAGTTGGAGATGTTGGTTTGTTTTTAAAAGATGAGAAGATTAGGGTAAAAAAGTAAAAACATTTTCCTTCCCCGTAATTTTAAAGCTTAACATTTCTTTTTTTTATTATTAATTATTTTATTTTCTGGTATAAATGATAGAAATTTAAATTAGACGGCACCTTTTCAAATTTCCCCAAAATTAAGATGATTGTAGAATTTTCTTGCCAAATCTTGGCAATTGATTTATCAAGGATTTAGATTCCCTTACGTCCCGTCTGGATGGCCAGTTGCCGTTAGTGATGTGAGATAATAGCCTCCAATTACACTGATCATCCATTTGAGTTACAAAGAAAAATTGCTTTTTTCACGCGTTGGATATATATATATATATATATATATTTTACTGAAACTCAAGCAGTGAAAAAATTAACCGACCACTATATATATATATTCAATTAAACCCCTGTTTTCTTTTTTTTTTACTCTTCAATTTTTTTACTTTTTTTTGTTTTGTTTTTTATTTAATTTTTTAAAAATAACTTTATTACTTTAATATAATAAATAAAATATGATAATTACATAATAAAAATAATTAATAAATAATTAAAAATTAAATGCATACTAAATTTTATAATTAAATAAATATTTCATAAATTTAAAAAATAAATATTTTATAATTAAAATAAGTTAACAAAATATATAATTACATAAATAATAACAAAACAAATTTTAGTATAATATATTTAATGATCATTTTTTATTTTTACTATATTTTATCTTATGGTTACTGCTATCATATTTTATTATTGATTTTAATTTCGTTATTACAATATAAAATCTCACAATTATAGTAATTAATATCATCATTACCATAATTTTTAGTCTCACATATTAATCTTATTACTTATCCAAATAAACCTTTAAATTATATTACATATTACTTGAAATTAATACCTTAAATCAATACGGCCTCGAGCTTTTTAATTTGACCTTTTAGAGTATAATAAAGCAAGTATTGAAAATGTTTCCATTGTTTATGTTAGAAGAGTGAAACCTAATCAAGGCCCTAAATTTTCATCATTGCATGTAAATAAAATTTTTATTTTTATTTTTGCGTAATTATAATAGTAAATTTTAAAAACCAATTAAAAATTTCAATTCGAACAATTTTTAAATTATTCTATAACTTATGCTATTTTATAAAAAAAATCTAATTGAAATAAAGAAAAAATAATTATGATTTTTTCATGCTTGTCGACAGTGTCAAGTCCGACATATAAAAAATGTTAGTATTTCGTTATTGCAATTGGATTTTTTTTATTAATTTTAAAATTTATGATTATAATTATAAAAATAAAAAATTATAACTTATTTACATGTAATAAAACAGCTAAGAGCTTAATTCCATTTTTAATTTATTAATGATTTTTTTATTCAAATTTAATTTAAAATGTTAATATAAAAAATTGTTAATATTATAATATTATTTTAAATATTGGGGAGTTTAAGTGAACAAATTATGCAAGTATTAAAGAAGACTTTAGTGATGTGTTTAGTACATAAGATTGTCATAGGAAAAGATAAGATGATATTATAAATAGGATTAGATTAAACAATGTTATCCTATCTTGTATTTGATATGTGTAAAGATTAGAATAAGATAATTTATTTATTAGTTAAAATTATTATTTCTCAAAATATATACAATTTAAATTATTGATACAATTTTTACACTAAAAAAAATTCAATTGATGGTTTAGAGAAACATCGGAATCTATCTTTCTTTTCTTGTTTTTTCACTAACCAAAATAAACCTGCCATTAATAATTAATGTTTTAACAACACTTTTTACCTATGACAATAAACAAAATAACTCTATTTTCTCACATTTCTCCCAATAATTTTTTCTCCCTTTCCCTCTCTTTTGCTTTCTTTTTCGTTTTCCACAAATATTCATGTTTTTGCTCTTTCAAAATCAAAATCTTATTAAAATCAAAATCGCTTTCACTAATCAGAATTAGAATCAAAATCTCTTTCTTAAATCAAAGCTTATCTTTTCAATTTTTCCTAATTTTTAAAAATTAAATTACCTAATTTTTCTCATTCCATTCCTACAATCATCATTTTCATCATCATCTCTATCACTACCATTTGTCATTGTCATCCTCATTTCTCCAGCTAAGTTCTCTTCTCCTCTAAATACTATTTCCATTTGAATTTTGATTTTCTAGTTTTTATTTCTAATGACCAAACGGCTAACATTCACTTTTTGTTTCGATTGAGCTCAAGTTTATAAAGGTAAGCCTCCTCGATAGAAACCCAATCAAACAATGTTGTTGATAGGGAAGAAACTTTTATTTTAGGCAAAGAGTTATTGAGTAGAGTCTTAGCTATTAAAGATGCTAACAAAGCGCTCCAAATGATTGCTTAGAATCAAAATGAAAA